AAAAAAAAAAAAAAAAAAAAAAAAAAAAAAAAAAAAACAACCATCCTTTTTCAGCCAGGATACCCTGAAAAGAGATAGCCTGGGCCTCCAGTAAAGGCTGCTCCAATTCCTTTACCTCTCAATGGGGAAAACACATTTTGCCTCCAGCTTCCTGCCATAGTGGAATTCCAGCAAGCATACACTGTGCACTTATTTCCTGCTTAGAAATCCACCTGCTACCTAGAACAGGCTATTAGCCTGTGACACCCAGAACTTGAGCTTGGTAAGCTATCGGCAGCTGCTGACCTTGAAAAGGGGCCTTGAGGCTACACAGAGAGGGAAGAGCTGGTGCAGAGACCATGCAAACCCTCAGGGGCCCAGCTTGGTCCTGATCATGGTCAATGCTTCCAGAGACACCACAGCCTTCCCACCATGCCAAGGAGGCTGAGGGTGAAACCTGGCTGCGTTTTATTGGATGGGCGATGGAAGGGTGGGCGAACTATAATAAAGGAGGGATAATGAGTGGGAGCCACCTATGAAAGTCCCTTGGCCTGCCCTCCCCAAAGAAGGAGGGAGACGAGCCTTTTCCCTCGGGTTTCTGGAATCTCAGGCCTCAGCCCGCCATGCGGGAGGCGTGCAGACGCCATAGACTTTGGGTCTGGTGGTTGTGAGTGAGACTCTGCGACCTCTGGCTTCCCGTCACTCCACAGCAAAGCCACAGGTCTCCTCCACTGCCGTCAGCAGCTTCTCATAGAGCTTCTCATAGGACTCATAGGGTGGGATGTCGATCCGGTTAAAGCTGGGAAAGGACGAAAGAAGCAGAGTCACTGCTGGGGACACGCTGAAGGTAAGCACAATGGGCCAGGATGTGCCGTCTCAGCTCCCCCTGGGAAAGCTTCAGCTTTCAACACAAGTTCTTGTTTGCTTTGTTTTTGTTTCTTCCAATTACCCACAGCAAAATCTCAAGATCTACAAACTCAAAATGCGAGCTTGCATACTTCCTGAGCATTGCTCTGTGTCTGGGTGTGACTTCTCCACACCAGGAAGAACCTGTGGTGGGCCTGTGACCTGCATCAGGTCTCCTGCTACCTACTGAGGGGCTGGTCAGTCCTCTACTAGAGCATGCTGGGTCTCGAGTGAGAGAACACCAAATCCTAGAAAGAGGAGATGGATACCAGATGTCCCACATAAGTCTTACACAGGGAAACTCATTCCAAGTATTTGTGTAGAGACACATCTATTGCCTCATAGTAATTTTAAAAACCAAGAAACACAAAAGTGCAGCCACGTATCAGAAGATGATTGCCCCTTTCTGCTGGGCTCATGCACAGACATGCACTCACGCACACACGCAACTAAGGGACATCCGTGAGCCTTCAGGGTACAGTCCAGGTGATGGGCGCCATAGCTTTAGCTGCTGTGCATCATGACACAATCCTGTTCCCAAAGCAGTGACACAATGGGACCTGCTGACTCAAGGAGGGCTTGCATGACCCTAGAGTGTGATCTGAGCTCTCCGGGAGACGACGCAAAGGACACATGACGCCACAGTGGCAGAGCTTACCAGGTATGGGCCTTGGGTAGGTTGTCTGTGTTGGCGTCTATCAGGTGGATGGTGAACAGTCGGGGCCCTGCCGCGCCTGTAGAGCCTTACAAGACAACATTCTAGTTAATGCACTTCAGAGACAAAGCCTGCAAGTGCCCGGTCAGGAGGCCCTGGGGCAGGGTGACTCATTTCTGAAGCCCAGGAGCTTACAGACCCTACATATGGCCACCCGGGGACCTCTTTGTGGTAGCGGAGGCAGAAACTGGCTTGTCCCTATTCTCTATGCTGGTCCTCCTGGACGCTCATGGCGTTTCCTAGCCTGCTGCAGCTGTAGCTACAGAAGCCAGTGTCTGTACTGTGCTGACAGGTGTGTTACACACTCCTCTCTGCGGGCCATGGCTGGCAGTGCTGAGGCAGGAGAAAGGGCTGCTGTGGCACTGTGTAGAAGGGCAGTGTGGGGGCCTTGTCTCCTTGGCCATGTAGCCTACTGGGCGGGGAAGAGCAACCCCTCGCTGTCACTCAGCACCTGGCTTTGTGTGCCTTCAGTTGAATGCCTTGCTCTAAGCAGCATTCATCCCCCCCCAACTCATGGGACCAGCCACTCTAGGACTAGATGGGGACTCTGTCCTATCCATGGGTCACACCCAAGCCCCTGTCTGGCCTTGGAGAATGTTAGTAAAAGCCTTGTGACAGAAGGGTTTTTCTCAATGGGAACATTTGGTAAGCAGGCCAGGAGTGAGGAAGAAGAGGTGAGGTAAGGAGAGAAGGGAGTGGGATCACAAAAATCTGAACCCCTACACAGCTTACTACTGAACACCTGTGTTTTGTCCTTAGCAGGCAGAGAATAAATCCCACGCCTTCAGCGTGCTGTAGTGAACCATGAGGTAGGAGGGGCAGCACGCCTCGCTCCGCCCACCCACTCGGTGTGGGGAAGCAGTAAGCTCAGGCTTAGTCAGTTACCAGCAGCCTGTGCTGGGAGGTAGGGCCTCCAGAGTTCAGGGTGCTCGGTGGGGAACCCTGTTACTTCTGCAGAGCCGCCTGCAGGCCTGCATCAAGGTGGATTCCGTCCCTTGAGGGCAGTGAAGGCTCCACACGTGCAGCAGTTCTACTGTGCTAGCCCGGCCTCCTCCACTGACCGCCGCCACCACCACTACAGGTTGCTCTTAGGTTGTCTGCTCAACAAGGCTGAGGGCACACCCACTTTGGGTTGTGAATACGAGACTACCGGTAGCCCTGCTGCTCCTGGTTTTTTAGAACGTGGGATCCATAGGCCCACAGGGGGCACCGGTGTGAACCCCCCCAACCTGCCAGGCACTCCAGTCTACATATTTGTTATGAGAACACTGGCCACCATCATTCTCTAGCGGGATGGCCACATTTCAGGTCTTGCTTCTGAAGCCTAGGACAGAGCACACCAGTTAAGCATCTCAGGGAATGGTCCTGACTCCACTGTCAGTCACCTTGCAGAGCCTTGAAGCCTTGGAGAGGAACTCGTGTGGATCCGGTCACGAATTGCAGGAGCCTGGCCCTCCTCTCCTCATCGAAGGTCTCCACCGCCTGCCAGAACCACCTGACGATGTTGCTATCTGCCACACAGTGCTTCAGCCGCGTGTTTGACTTCCAGTCGTTCAGGTCTATCTTATCCAGCCCACCTATTATCAGCTGGGGAAGGGCATCGGGCTGGGTTACATCTAAAATGCCTAAGACACTGCTCCTGCCCTACGACCCCTAACCCTCAACAAATGCTGACCGTCCAACTCCCAAAGCCAATCAGCCGCCCCTGGGCTGCCCACTGTCTGACACACAGCTACACAAGGCCGACAACCCAAAACCTCAGGTGTGAGTTTGCTCTGCACCGGGGACTGGGACTGGGAGAGACCGACAGGGAGAGAAGAGGGACTGGGAATGGCCGACAGGGAGAGAATTCCACAGGTCATGTGGAGTGAGGGGGCATGGCACATACTCTCCACTTGTTTAAAAGCTTGCTGAAGATTCACTGCCTCACACAGAGACTCCACTCCAAAGCCCTCAGTCTCACAGTGGGCAGATGGCTATGAGAACAATCTGGAAGGCTTAGGCTACTTGGCACCAGGCAGAGCTGGCAAGGGATGAATGAGTCACTGTCCAAGTCCCTGACAATGACATGTCCTTAGTCTATTAATAGCCAGAGTGGGAGCAGAGAACTGGGTTGAGGGAGGCCTAGTCCAGGGCATGGGCTAGAAATCCCAAAAACCTAAGGCACAGACATCATCTGGAACTATTCCTGCAGATTCAGTCATTAATTGCTGGCTGGGGCACAGACAGAACTGTGTACAAGGCAGTTCAGGTGCCCTCAGTCTCCCTCCCCATCAAGCCTATTGCTCCAAGGACTGCCTGTCTGGGGCCTGAGGAGGCCTCCCAGCACTCACCTCCAGTTCCTTCTGGTCAAACGGTTTCAGTAAGTGTTGGGGAATGAGCTCATTAAACCCTTTCTGAAGCGCTAGGAACTGGGCTTCAATTCCTCTCATAAACCTCCAGTTTACATACAACCTGAAAGGAAAAGCCACACAATGGAAGTAACTGGGAAGAGACCATGAAAGCACTGTCCCCGCAGCGGCTGCAGCTATGACGGCAAATGTGAGGTTAATGTCAGAGCCTGCTGAGTGGACTCCAGCCTTCTCCCCCCCTCCCAGGAGCTCTTAGTTTGCTGGTCTGGTCTCATCTTCAATTATTATTAATTATTATTTTTAAGCATGTGCATGTTTTCCCTGCATGTCTGTATCATGTGTGTGCCTGGTGCTGATGGAGGCCAGAGCAGGTGACTTCACTCAAATTGAAGTTGCAGTTGTGAGCTACCATGTGGGTGCTGGTCCTCTGGAAGAGCAGCAAGTGCTCTTAACCACTGAGGCATCACTCCAGCCACTTTTGAGACAAGGTTTCATGTAACCCAGCCTAGTCTTGAACTTGATCTCATAGAGGCTGGCCTGGAATCCCACTAATTTCTAGCTTCTGAGCCTTGGGATTAAGGTCTGTCTCACCCCACCTGGCTTTATCTGTCTCTTCCCTTCTCCCCATCCCCTGAAGAAAGGATCTCTGTAGCCCAGGCTAGGATTGAACTCAGTATGTAGCCCAGAATGGCCTGGAACTCCTGTGTCAGCCTCCCAAGTGCTGGAAGTACAGGTCTGCCCCCCACACCAAGCTATACCCAGCCTTTATAGCAGTTAAAACAAACCAGTTCCGGCATTCTGGTTTCTACTAAAGTCCAAGAGGGATTGGTGAGACCTGCCAGAACTGCCAAGATTTCAAATTGGATCTGCAAGGCACACCTACAGCTCTGAATGGCCAGTGCATCTAACTGTCCCTCAGGTTGGCGCTGGGGCGCTGTAGTGGACTCCTTGGACACCCTGGCAGCCTCTGCTGTGGACCCTGGCTTGCCACCTCGCACCCAGAGCTGGGATGTCACATGGTGTCTCTACAACAGGTGCCTCTGACAGCACCTTCTGCTTGTTCCAGGCTACCACTAAGGCCAGCCCAGCATATTACCGGACGTATTCCTTCTTATTCTCTTCAGTGACGGGCACATTTCTGCCATTAGGTTTCAGTTCATGCTGAAGGATCCGCCCGAAAGCATTGTGCTCCACGCAGAAGGTATGGTCCAGCACTGGTGTGATGTCATTCTCTCTGTGGACACAGCAAAGGCTGGTTAGGCTTCTGCCAGGGAGTCCTGGAGGGCTGCAGAGGGCTGTGCTGGATAGCTGGCAGGCATAGTTCAGGTTCTGTCCCTGACTTTGTGATTCCCATTCAATCATCCTGTGACACCACGGGGTATGAGGCATAATTGCTCTGAGGGCTGAGTCTGGGAGGAGGCCTGTGAAGAGACAGCTGATTCAAAAGGACACAAGCCAAGAAAATAAGGCCTCTTTCTTCTCAAGACAGCCTCTGCTCCCACCAAAAAAAAAAAAAACCAAAACAAACAAACAAAAAAAAGCACTGGAAATGTCAGACTGACTTTTTATCTGCCCTACTTCTTGACAAGTGGAGCGACAGACCCCCACAAGGAAACCCTCACTCCCCCATGGCCCTTGCATAGTGGAGAAGAAGCCCTTGGGCTAGACTCCACACGGCAGCTTCCCAGACTTGTCAGGGCCTGGGTCTTTCACCAAATCTATAGTTCATGTCCTTGCCACCCTTAAAGCATTCTGGCTAACTCTAAAGCAAAGATAACTAAATATTAAATTTGCTTTTGATACTTTTTCTTGCCTTCTACAGATCACCTGAGAAACGATAGGGTTGATTTCTTGTGTGCCCCCCCAACACTGGTGGGGGTCACTGGCATTTCTAATCAAACCTTAATAAGCAGTAAAACAAACCAGTTTTGTGAAAAGAAACCTGCTAAGCACCATGAAGAGTGTAAGTCAATTAACTTCTGTTACATCTGTCTTGTTAGTCTGTACTTGCAACCCAACGTTGTTGTTACAGTTAGTTGTTTTACTCGCTTTAGTTTCACTCTATTCCCTGAAAAGCATGTGCACACACAACAAACACATTGCGAGCTCTGGAGCTGTGGAACAGGACTGACGAGACTTACAGAATCCACACCAAGCTCTTGTGCAGTTCTGGGTCCACTGACTCCAGATCCGACAGCTGGATGGGTTTTCCCAGGAGCTGCTTGTAGAAGGGGACTGTGAATCCCCCGTTTATGTAATGTCCATGGAACACAGCCAGACCCATGATGCGACCCACAAAGTGGAAGTAAGACAGATGGTCCTATAGGGGGCGCCAGAGAACAGCAAGTCATTAGGAGGTGAGCTGCAAGGGTGGAGGCCCACTTCCCGGACTGCCTCTGCCTCTGGAAGTAACAAGACACATATGTCCTCAGCTGCCCACCACCCACCCATGGCCAGACAGGGTAAGTCTGCCATTTAGATGCAGGTTCACTCCCGTCTAACTCAGGTGGGACTGTAATGGCAATCCTCCTGCCTCAGCCTTCAGAGTCCTGGGATGACAGGCATGTGCCACCATACCCTGGCCTCTCCCTCTGTGTGTGAGTCACTATCTCTCCCTGAGGACCCTTTTAACTTGCAGGGGCCTGGTACAAAATGCAAGTGTGGAGTCTTCTCCAACAATGTGAGAAGGTTTGTCTCCTCTTCCTCAACTGGGGTGCTTCTGGTGTATAATAGGGAAGGCTCATGTTTCTGCCTCCAGCTCTGAATTACAGTCACCTCAGAAAACTTGCCAGAATTGACCTTCCAGGATGGGTAAAGGCGTATCCACACTGTGTGTGTGTGGTTTACGTGTAAGTGCAAAGCACAAGCTCACCTTTATCCCTCTGGTCTGCCTACTGCTTTGAAAGCAGGGTCTCTCAGCAAACCTGGGTCTACAGGTCAGGCTGGCCAACCGTCGAGCTCCAGGGGGCACCCACTTATACCTCCCTAGGGCACACGCTATCATGCCTGGCTTCTGGGATTTTTGTTGTTGTTGTTGTTTGGTGTTTTAAGACAGGGTCTCTCTGCATAGCCCTGACTGTCCTTTAACTCACTCTGTAGACCATGCTGGCCTCTAACTCACAGAGACCGCTCGCCACTGCCTCCCCTGTGCTGGGATTAAAGCAAGCACCACCGGGCCCAGCCACATCTGGCTTTCTTTCTATGTGGGTTCTACAATCTGACTCAGGTCGTCGTGCTTGCACGGCTGAGCGTTTCCCAAACACGGGTTTATTCACATTTCAATTCTCTAGTAGAGCTAGTCCCTCATTTCAACTCTGTGGCCTTTTCACACCAGATATGGTCCTACAGAAGTCCTCCACAGCGGCTGTCTTATACCTACCTCGTGCTCAATGTTCGCATTTGTGGCCCAAAGAGCTAATTATGGAACTTTTCCAATTTTGATCTGAGTGTGGACTTGGCAAGAACATGATATGCCACCAAACCAAGAACATGATATGTCCCCCTCAGTGCTCGGGGACAGAGCAGCTCAGATCCACAGCCCCTCGCTACAGACAGCAGGCCCCTGATCTAAACTTGGCTGGAATCCAGAATGGAATCAGGTCTAGCAAGTCGGTGCTCCCCATCCCTCCCCTGAGTTCTCAGCATCATGTCTAAGTCACCAAGAACTGGTGGAATCCAGATTTGCCTTAGAAACTCCAGCTTGATTCCTCAACTCCTCATGTAATACTCACAGGGTTGATGGAAGAATCCGGGTTGATTTGCAATGTGTAAATATTGTCCGTGGAATACTGGAAGAGTCCATAATACGGATTCAACATTTCATGGCACAATAAATAGAGCCACTCCCTGCGAGCAATAACAACACAGCTCACATGTGCTGACAGTATTGTTTTCAGAATTTTTTAAAGGTATGTGTAAGTATATGCCGAGTGCATGCAGTGCCTAAGGAGGCCAGGAGAGGGCACCAGATTCCCCTGGCACTGAAGTTTCAGGAGGATGTAAAGTGCCATGTGGGTGCTAGGAACCAAGGTCAGGTCCTTCCAGGAGCAGCATGTACTCTTAACTGCTGAGCCACCTCTCCAGTGCCAGTTTCTTTTCTTTTTTTCTTTTCTCTGAGACAAGGTTTCTCTGTGTATCACTGGCTGTCCTAAACTCCCTCTGTAGACCAGGCTGGTCTCAAACTCACAGATCCGCCTGCTTCTGCCTCCTAAGTGCTGGGATCAAAGACCTACACCACCACTGCCCATTCCAGTTTCAAAGCATCCTATAGTAAAGACTTTGATAGGTGAACATTTCAAGCTCCAGGGAAGCAGAAAGACTTTATGAATAAATCTGCCTTTCTAGTTTCAAGTTGAATTCTTACTTTGACCATAAGCATGGACCACTTTGACTTTTAAAATTCTGTTTGTATGTGTACATGTTTATGTGAATGGGTTCACGTGAAGGGCAGAGGTTGAGCTGATATGTTTTCCTGGATTGCTTTCTAGCTTATTTTTTGAGGCAGGCTGACCAGTGACCCCGGATATCTTCCTGTCTCACCTCCCTAGCTGCAGACTTACGGCACATGCCCTGTGCTGGGCTTTTATGTGGCTTCTGAGGCTTGAACTCAGGTCATTACACTTTCAGGGCAAGCTTTACAGACTGAGCCATCTCTGCAGCCCATTCATCACTGTATAATGTGAAAAACAAAACAAAAGCCAACTAGATGGATCTAAAACATTAGTTTTAGAAATCTGGCAGGAATACAATACACTGGTTAATTTATTTTCCGAATTCCTTTAAGGCTTGAATTACTTTACTATTAAAAAAAAAAAAATCCAAACCAAAAGCAACCAAACACAATAACCACTTCTGCTGGAAACAGAATAAAGGGCTGTGGTGGAGCTGTTAGGCAGCCTGCTATGAATGGCATGAGGTCAATCCTGCAGGTACCAGAGGCAAAGCACCTGCCCAATGGACAGACAACAGCCACAGACTTTATTGTGGAGCTTCTTACACTTTCAAACAGAAAGGAGGCAGGTTAGCAGAGGGTAGCACAGATAAAAAAAAAAAAAAAAAAATCAAAGACAGTGATGAAAATATATGAGAGATACAGACATGATGCTCTCCCATCTGGACTTCTGGAGGGCCAGGGGACTTCCTTGGACTTGTGCACCATAAGTGTGCTTCCCTGCTTCTTGTGCAATTCTCTAAGCATTTGGCCCCTCCTTAAAAGGACAGAGGGTGGGGGCTGAGAACATGCTATGGCGTGCACCTGCACCTGGCACCGAGGTCACGGCAGAGTCCCCAGATCTGATGACTAGTAATCAATGCAGGCCCTACAGAACACAGGGTAGCTGGTGGGGGTAGCTGGTGGGAGGCTCTCCAGAGAAGACTTCATTACCCATTAAATGCATTTAGTTCATTTTATACTTGATTACAACGGAATTCAATGAATTAGTGTGTTATATAGCAACTTAAAACACCCTCCCTCCCTCACCAAGCACTGGAAGATAAGGTAAGGAAACCCTGCAGAAAGGAGAGATGGAAAAAGGAAAGAGATGGGAAATGAGGAGGAAGCCCTCAGATGGAGGAGCTGGGAGGAAGTGAGGCTCATGTGTACAGCAGGTATTTACAAAGGTGCGAGCTTGGTATCAGAGCCATCCAGAGACAGATCTGACTGTGAGCCAGACAAAGCTCTGTATGTAGCTGTTAGGTACACAGGCAGAAGAAAAATTACACGGCACAACTGTTCCACAAGAGAGAAACCGAGAAAGAAGAGGCTGGAATCCCAGCATCCAGGGTCTGACCCAGAAGCAGACGAAGCTCACACTGACACCCAGGCTGGAAGCCACACCACAGACAACCTGCAAGATGCTGTCCTGAGCAAGGAAGGCAAAGCCTGGTCTAAAAAGGAGCCGGTGTGGAGGTTCACATATGTAATTCCAGCACTCAAGAGGCTGAGGCAGAAGCATTACTTTGTTTTAGACCACCCTATGCTATATAGTCAATTCTGGGGCAGGGAAATGGGAAGGAAGAAGTATGGAGGAAAGAGAAAAAATAGAATCCACAGACAAATTGAAGTCTGAAAGGCTAAACAGTATTCTGTAATTAAAGTAGAAAGGCTGCAGAGATGGCTCACTGGTTAAGAGAACTGACTGCTCTTGAAGTTTACTTGAGTTTGATTTCCAGCACGCACATGGCAGCTCACAACCATCTGTAACTCCAGTCCTCTTCTGGCCTCTGTGGGTACTGCATGTCCATGGTGCATAGACAAACATGCAGTCAAAACACCCAAACATTAAATGTTTCAGTGGAGCTCAGGGGACAGACAGGGAGAACTGGAGAGAGCCCAGTGTTAGAGCAAAGGTTCAGCCCTTCCCCTACTACTGCCCAGAGTCCGTGTTCGTAACCAGATCCCTAAATCAGGAGGTATCAGCCTCAACTTGGCCACCTGGATGATAACAGGTGGCTCTTAGAACAAACTCTAAGAGTTAAGAAGCCCTTGTCTCAAAAGTGAAAGCAGCTGGACAGGCTTTCATTATTCTTCTTAAAGTTACTTTGATGAAACAACCAGAATGCCGGCATCTTGTGAAATTCCCTGGTACAAGTACGATTTACATGTGTGTCCTGCCCCCATGCTGCCTCCATGTTTAGTTGAGTGGCCCCTGGGGTTTTGTGTTCAGACACATGACGTGAAGAAGGAGTATGCTTAAGAGTGTAATTCTGACTATGCCAAGTAAACAAAGTGATGACTATACATTTCCTAACTGGTGATATCAGCAGCTCAAATCAGCAGGAGCCTGGGTGCCATGGGCATGCTGGCACAGCGGAGCAGGGTATGCCCCACTGGGACACTTGGAAAGTGAGGGGCAAGCAGCCTCTCTGAAATGTAGCTGCAGAGACCTGAGACTCTGTGGGGAAAGGGGGTGAATTAGTGGCTCACCGTGCCACTCCGCCATAGTCCAAACCTTCTTCCCCTCGGAACTTCACCATCAGGCGCTTCTTCAGGTCTTTTGGCCTCATCTTCATGATCTGGCGATACGACTCCTACATATCAAAGCCATGGGTTCAGAGAGAAGATTTTGTTTGAATGGGCTGAGAATGGAATGGCTGGAACTCAGGTCCTTCACATGCTAGACAAGTGTTGCAAGTGAGCCCCTCACTGGGGCATTCTAGGCAGGGGCTCTACCACTGAGCCTCACCCCAGCCCCTCACTGGGGGATTCTAGGCAGGTGCTCTACCACTGAGCCATACTCCAGCCCCTCACTGGGGATTCTAGGCAGGTGCTCTACCACTGAGCCACACCCCAGCCCCTCATTGAGGATTCTAGGCAGGGGCTCTACCACTGAGCCACACCCCAGACCCTCACTGG